GAGAGAGAGAGAGAGAAGGAGAGTGGAAAGGTGCGACGAAGAGGAGCCGACCTAACGGGTGACCACGTGACCACCGGGCGGGGGTGGCAGGCGACATTTCGCATGCTCAGAACTCCACAGGCCGCGACGTACCGCACGCACACGGCGAGGACCCGCCGATACATCTCTATACGACGCGCCGGGGAAACGATGGTAGCGAGTCTATTGTGAGTGATCCTTTTGCCGGGAAAGCGTTTTCCAGTAGAAAAAAAAATCGTCCCGAGAAAATTAAACGCCTCAAGTGATCTTCGCCGTGATCTCGCGAGCGGCGCAACGCGAGACGATCCGCGGGTGCAGGACGGCCGGCTCTGCATCCCTCGCGCGAACGGGCGGAGCGGTGATCCTGCGGGAGATCCGCGACTCTTGGACGAGGCTCTCAGTCGCGAAACGACGTGGATTTGATCGTTTCAACAACGTATCTCTGTGCCGACGGTGTCTCTGTGTGCATGTGCGAGCTGTGTGCCGGACGGTACGCGAAACATAACTCGGGGTGCTGGTCGCGACACGCAGCACGATGCTCCCGCGATCCTGGAGGATGCGAGAAAAGTGAATCCAGGCGAGAAAAATAATCACGGGTAAATGCGTGAATTCCGATACGACGTGTTTACACGCATACGCTGCACGTAGTAGACACGCGCGCCTGCACGCACGCGTTACGCACCCCCGAGATAACGATGCTGTTGTCAGGAGGAAATTGTCGACGGCATCCTTGAACGTTTTGTCGGAGCACTCTGTTTCGAGTCTGGAGCCAACGACAGAACGTAAGATTCTCTGATCGATGTTGCTTGATTAAATTTTATCGCAAGGATTTTTCTTTTTTTTTCAATGTTTTTTGCGGAATATTGATTGCAACAATTAATACTGTACGTACGTATTTCGAACCAGGATTTGTCATTGTGCCATATCGTATCGTATATCCTGACATGCGGCGATTTCAAGCGGCGATTTTTTTTTGCAACGCAAGACTGGATCTTTCTATTAAAATTAATAGCCTAGTGCAGAAGATAGTTAAGAGATAAAATAAAAATTTTTAATGAGAAAAATATAGAAAAGAGAATTTGAAAAAAAAATATAATAGAAAAATATATTAATTGGAGTATATAATTTATGTTTTGTGCACACACAAAAATTACTGATGATCAGAATAAGTTGAAAATACGATTAGAATAATTGTATCTATAAATTTTAATTACTATTATATAAAAAAATCAAAGCTATATGAAGCTCACTTTTCCTAGCGAAGTTAAAATACCTATTCAAATACATTTTTTATGTCATTTCTCGTATCGTAATTCATATTTGAAAATTACAAAAATTATTATATTAATTTTGTGCTATACGCGTTATAATTTCAAAATGTAATTATATTATAATTTCTTATAATTTCTGAATTCAATAATGTTCTCTCTCTCTCTCTCTCTCTCTCTCTCTCTCTCTCTCTCTCTCTCTCTTTGTCTTTAAATCGGTTCCATTAATACTGTATTAATTGATCTGTTTTCGGAGAAACACTTTTTAAGACGATAATTATTCTTTTCATATTAATTAATAAAAAATTTAATCTGTCCTAATAAAAACCTTTGAATGTTCTGTATACGTGCACGGTTTTCCTAAAATTGTTAAATAAACGAGGAAGAGAGAGGAAGAAAGAGTCCGAGAATGGCTGTTCGCGGATGTTCGCACACACGCATAAAACGTCATTATCAATTGAGCATGCGTAACTTATGCATCTCATTCGGCTCGTTAGGACAGTAATGTATTTTAATTGGCCATTGCGTAGTATTAGACAATACGTTCCAAAAAGCTTGTCGCGCCGGTTAACAATAGTTTTATGAAACTATACTCGTAACAGTTCACCAAATTACAAACAATGCGCCCGTATAAATTAAATAATATATATAATAGAAGTGATAAAGTAATATTTATCTTTGTGAGAGTGACTTCACAGTGAAAGACTGCAAAGTTTGAAACAAAAGAAAAATATGATTTCAAGAAATCATTATTTAACATCTTGCTCTCAGCACTGTGCGTAGACTGTAGAGTGTACTAATCATTGGTAATCATTCATTATTGATGCTCTAAAGCAAAATACACTTGAAAGTTATTTAGGTTCAACAAGATTTTAATTTAAAAAATCTTAAACATTATGACATAATAATTAACACGTTCTACTTGAACCATAGTATTATTATGAAACTAATCCAGTTAGTATGAAAAAAATCCGGTCAAAAAAATTATTTTTAAAAAATGGGAATAAAGTTTTACGCGGAAAAAATTTTTAAGTATCAAAACTCAACAGTGCTCGAGCAATAATAAATTTAGTTATTATGAAGAGAAGATGATTGAAAAAATAATTTTCAAAAGACATCTAAGAAACTTTTATCATTCTTTGATGTAGCTAGATAGATTCGGACAAAAAGCTTTTGTCTCGATAAACTTCTCTTGTGTAGCCATCCTTAGACTTTACTTTTCTTTCTATTTCTTTCTCTCTCTTTCTCCTGCGGTCGACGAAGTCCGGCGACCGAGCCATTAGGTGGACGAGAGGAGAGACCTGCGGATAAGCAGTGGCATTCCTCTTGTTTCGCTGCATTTCGTTTTCTCTGACGGTTGACAGACAGACAGCCAGTCAGACAGCAAGCTAAGCAACTCACCCGCGATAAACACTTCGGCACAGGCTTCTCTGTTTAGATAAGCGGAGTGCCTTTCATCTCTCGCTTCGCTGTGCATTATATGCGACTCGCTTCAGCGAGATGAATTGCGACATATAGGGTGACATCAAATTTATGCCCTTATTATATTCGGTGTTATAACGATCCGATCAATCTACAGAGATTTTTGCATAAAATATCATAATTTATTCATTAAATATTCAGGATTAATGTTAGACGATAATAAGAATTTCTGAGACTTTTCTCACGATCCTACTTTACTCTGCTATCCATACACGATACTCTAAATCTACAGAAATCGTTTGTCAACGATAAAATACAAATTTTTCAAAGCGAAGGCGATAAAATAAAGAGTTGAGTCCAGTCACAATTTATCCACACTACGACACTTTTCTAACAAACGGCAAATTAATTTCGTGCCTTTTGTTCAAAATGTTAAATTATCAATGAACTATTTTTAAAAGTAATCGCCCTTAAAAGCTTAAGCAAGTTATTAAATTGATTATTAAATTATTAGTTGTGAAATCAAATTGTACTTTTTTCTTTGAAGAAAAAAAAATGAGGAAAGAATTCCGTGTAAGACAAGTGTGATAACACCTAACTTGAGGTATCTTGGCGGTATCTCGAGGTATCTTTCACACCATGGCGCGAAATATGTACGAGACATATATACGCGTACGCACAAGGGCGGAGTGCAGATATAGATAGTGACTTGGCAACATAAAGAATACATAACGCAAAGCATTGAGGAGGTTCCACATTGGCTGGTTTCAGTGCCTCGTGGTGAACGCCTACCAGTCACTCCACCTCTTCGACACACAATTGGCAGACAATAATCGAGTTCTCTCACGCGAACGAGCATCCCCGCGATCTCACAGGTGCGATCTTCCTTTACCTGCAAGATTACGTTAACGCACTATCATTCGACATATATGTATATGTCTATAGAGATTTAGCTGCTTATCGGGACATAAATTTGTGAAATTGATGATTCCGCACAAGTCATTAAAATACATACAATTATATAAAAATAATTTTTTATTGTGGCGATATATACATATATTACGTCGCCACGATTAAAGCCGAACGTGCGATAATCAATGTGTTTGGGGTTTCTTATATTATACGTACGCATATTTTCGCGACGCACATCACACATGTACATACCGGCATTACACATATTTACTGTACCCATTGATTAAGCGAACACAATAGGCTGCAATTTTAATTAAATTCTTTTCGCTGATTTAAGATCTACCAAATATTTTTTTCGTTTTTTTTTATTTCTGTAATAGTTACAGGTGCGTACCTTTATCAATTTCAGACCGTTTGCTATTTCCTTATTTAAGCGGTTTTCTGTATAAAATTAAATGGCAATTTTCAAACTTGTCAACGGTAAATCCTGATAGAAAATATTTTCCAAGAACGATCTCGAACAGCGAGAGGAATAACGAGCAACCAATTTTAGGAACGAGAGGTCGAGGAATCAACTTGTAAACACAATCGGAGTCAAACGATTCGACTAACAATAAAAATAAATTGTATAACGTAAGAATAATTGTATTATACTGACTAACCACAAGTTTTTTTAAATTAATCCGACACAACTCCTAAGTTATTAATATATTATTGAGATATTATTAAAATGTCATGTTTTTTACGATTTTATTTACGGATTCTGATTCTCTCTCTTTGATCATCTCAGATCTTTCCAACAAAAAGATACTGGTAATTTTTATATTATACAAGCAACTTTACTCTTTTGTGGCAGTTTCTCTATTCGTTTATCACGTTTTCATCGAAAGACATAATAATGTGATTGCCATTGCAGATAGAGTGATATGTTAACCGAAGACAATGATCCAACAAAACCAGCAGGGGTTTTAGATAATGCTGGCAACGTGTCTTCTTCGACAGAAGCCTCGGTACAGCATCCTCGCGCCGCAAACAATGGTAGATAGAACATGCAGTTACATTGACGTAGAATACGTACACAGAGTCAAATTTACATGATTGTGTGGGAGATTCTCGTTAGTTTTACATGTAATATATTGGCGATTAACAGTTTATTTACCTTTTTCATTACGATAGCTTAAGCGCCTTGCATTTCGCTGTTTTCACATTTACTCCAGTTTATACATTTACTACAGCTTCTCGAAAATACAATTAAAAGAATGGCAATCAATATCGTTCCGAACCATTAAGATATAGAATATAGACATTTCGAAAAAATTGCATTTATAAAGAAATAATTTTGTCCATTTTTATACAAGAGACCGAAGTTAAAAACGAGGTACAGGACTGTCCTGAGAATGACAGCGTACCCGGTGGTGAACTGTACATCGATGAGAATGCCGAGGAAAAGGAACAGGAGTATCCGGATTCGATGGAAAAGGCGGATTACGGATCCCTGTACGGTGCCAATCAATATTACAACAGGTATTTAAACATTAATTCGCCAGATGATTCAGCGAGTAATTGTATAATAAGATTAACTATAAAAAATAATTATCATGAAAAGATATTTTATTTGCCGCGTATTTTGAGTAAAATGACAAAAATATGAAAAGTATACTTTTATACTGTATAAAACGCTATGGCATTTTATTTCTTGATAATTCTTTTTTT